TGGACGGCTGAGAACTGAAGTCAGGGCAGGCAAGATTTCCACGAACTGTGCTTTTGAACTGAGGCTCCTCAGCGATTTCCTGGCTCTCTCTGAACTCCTCTCTTCATGCCCAAGTAGGCGCCCAGGTCCTAGATACTGGCTGCTTAGGTCAGCATACATCAGCGCGTTTGGATACCTGGTGCCTAGGGAACTTCGCAGTCTAGATACAGAATCACAGAATGGTTTAGGTTGGAAGGGACCTCTGGAGATCATCTAGTCCAACCTCCCTGCTCAAGCAGGGTCCTCTAGAGCATATTGCCCAGGATCACATCCAGACGGCTTTTGAATATCTCCAGGGAAGGAGACTCCACCACCTCTCTGGGCAACCTGTTCCAATGCTCTGTCACCCTCACAGTCAAGAAGTTTTTTCTCAGGTTCAGATGGAACTTCCTGTGGTTCAGTTTCTGCCCGTTGCCTCTTGTCCTGTTGCTGGGCACCACGGAGAAGAGGCTGGCCTCATCCTCTTGACACTCCCCCTTCAGATACTTGTACACGTTGATGAGATCACCTCTCAGTCTTCACAGACTTCATCAGCTGAAAGTCTGTGCCCTGTATTAGTGCAGAAAAGTAGACTTTTTGATTCATTCTCTGGACCCGTGTGACTCTTGCCCCTAAATCCCGTTTTGGCAAATGAAATAAATAGGCTGATTTAGTCTTAGCTTCCAAGCAGTTGTTGTGCACTGAGGGCCGAAATAAAATTGTGCAGATAGTGCGGGTGTTTCCTGTCTTTCAAGAGTTTGTCTTTGCAACTGTAATAGTAATATCTCAGTATGCTCCTGGAGTTCAGTACTCGGGAAACTTTGGCTTTACAACCTACCACGTGACCGGGATACCTTCTCATTTACTCTTGTAAATACTACATTATATTATGCTTCAGGGACCCTTAAACTTGAAGGTATCTTAACGTGGTTAGTGAGTAGCAGAGGGGTCCTGGGCTCCTTTCTCAAGCTCCTTCGCTCTTCTTCTCTGGTGTGAATCTGAGTGTTTTTCTCTGTTTTTAAAGGGGACACTATAATTTTGATGTGGAGGAGAACTTTAAGTAAATAAGGTAATGATTGCTCTTGTGCAGAGTGCGAAAGTGGGTGACCAAGAGATTCATTTGACAGGCTAAATTAAAGTACTTACCCTGACCTGTGTCTAGAGTTATAAAGTAACTTCCTTTTTACCAGTGAATCCTTGAGCAACCTGTTTGTGTCCTATTGCCTAATAATTGGTGCTTACTGTAAATATCTCACCATGCACCAGGCCATATCCTCCCTCTCTGAACCTGACCCTGTACACTTTCAGCGCTTCCTCGGTTTGATATCCATGCTCATCACACTGGGGAGAGCAGGGACTGAGACAGGCTTACTGCATTTCAGTCAAGCTAAGACAACTAGGGGCAGAGGACATCTGGCACAGGCTGAAAGCATCTTCTGCTATGTATGCTTCTTCCTTCCCTTGCAAGTTTTTTTTTTTTCCCTCTGCTTTTTTCTTGTCTTGAATGCTAACAGTGTTCTCTAGGTTGTTCCAAATTATCCCCAAAATGTTTGTGGAATTATTTCTTGAAGGACTATGCCCATCACATGACTCTGGTCAAGTTCAGCTAGGCCCAGTTCAGGTGAAATCAGGTTGGTAAAAGTAGCTCACCAGCAGGATTATTTTACAGTAAATTTGTGCGTGATCAGTTCAAAATATGGGGGTTTTTTTCTAAGTAATTAACATCAAGAAACTAATAATGAATTTTTAAAACACAATAAAAGCCAATCCAAGTCAAATT